AACTTCGACAACTTTCTATCTGTTATTACTGGGGACTTCAACTCGTCAGATTGATCTTTCCTTAGAGCACTTGGTCACTCAAACATTGTCAAATTTCCCACTCGACTTGACAAAACACTTGATTTAGTTTTTACAAATGACGATGGAATATTTGAAACACGTAAACGTGCACCGATCCTCAACTCTGATCACTCTATTGCTCGTGTTCTACCGAAAATATGCAGCAAAACACATATTAAAGTCTTCTCACATCTGTCTATGAAAGCACAACAAAGATGCTACTCATCCGACAACTTACTCAATCTCAGATGCATGTTAAAATATACTAACTGGGATTTATTCCATGAAAGTTCATTAGATGACACAATTGTCAATATAACGGATTATCTTAAGTCCTGCCTTGATATATGCTGTCCCAAACAAACACTATTCAAACGCCTCGACCGCTTCTCATCTCCTTATCTCAAACAACTTCGCAGGCAAAAAGAAACATTATACAAATCCAAAGACAAGTTAGGACTCAAAAAGATTAATGCTCTAATCAAATCTGAAATCAAAAATTTCAATGCTATGTATAATCATACACTTCTATCATGCAAATCTCCTATCAGCATGTGGAAACCTTTTAATGAAATTACTGGCAATGGTAAGCGATGCAATGTTTTCCCCTCTTATGATGTTAACGCTCTTAATCAGTCTTTTATGCCTTCTCCTTCTACTATAATTACTTCTAGTGTTACAAATCACGCAGTTGATAACTTTCATGACTTTAATACTCTTGATGTTCTAAAATGTCTTAAAACGCTTAAGCCCTCACGTAGCCTTGGCCCTGATGGTGTACCTGCTTATGTTCTAAAACAATGTGCAGATGCTTTATGTTCTCCACTTACTAACATCCTAAACGTTTCTTTTTCCAAAAACGTTGTACCTGTTGCATGGAAAGACATTAAAATAGTCCCTGTCCCTAAACCTGGAAATAGCAAGAACGTAAAGTTCAGACCCATTGCCATTACTTCCCCGTTTCTAAAGCTGATGGAAAAACTAGTACTTCTTAAACTTGAACCCTCCCTTAAAAGTTTTGAAGACCCCAAACAATTTGCATATAGACAGGGTAGGAGCACTTTAGATGCTGCAGCCGTCTTACACAACAGTATCGTCTCATCATTAGATAAAGGTGCCAAATACGTCCGCTGCACGTTTCTCGACTTCACTTCTGCTTTTGACTCTGTACCTAGATGTCTCTTGCTAAATAAGCTCTCGATGACACAAACTGAGTCCTGGGTCACAAACTGGTTGCATTCCTATTTCTCAAACAGAATGCAGTACACTGTATACAAAGGTAAATCCTCCTCTGCTGTGCTCACTGAAGCTGGTGTCCCCCAAGGTGCTGTACTCTCCCCACTTCTCTTTTCTTTCTTTCTACATGACTTACCATCTTCAAATGACATTAATTTTGTTAAATATGCTGACGATCTGACTGTATCTTTGCCTGTCAAGTGTCAAAGTGACTGCTCCAAACTAAATGGCTTTTTATCAGAAATCAGCCAGTGGTCCAAGGAAAACGGTCTTACCTTAAATCCCTCTAAATGTCAAACAGTCAATTTCACCTTTAGGCATAAATCTGACCTAAACAAACTGGTTAGCACTCACGAGGTGTGCAACATAGATGGCACTGAAATAGAGACCAAGTCGGAAATTAAATATCTTGGCGTCATTCTATCTGCTGATCTTTCCTGGTCGTCTCATATCTTGATGATTTCTAAGAAAATATTCCGTCTTACCTTCTACATCAAGAAGTTAAGACATTCTGGAATAACCCAACCCTTACTCTTACGATTCGTTAACTCTTGCATCCTGCCTATTATTCTCTATTGTTCCCCCTTAGTTTTTCCAGGGCTACTGAAGAAGGACTATATCTTATTACGTAGGATGTTAAAGGTTGTCAGCAGGGTAAGCAATGTGCCACTTAACCAGCTTGTTAATATTCTGGTTGACAGGCACTTGGACTCATGTGAAAAATGGGCCAAATCCATTCTATCTAACTCACACCACCCTCTTCATTCACAACTCTCCCCTTGTATCTCATCAGGCAAAACCAGAAGCCTATATAGAAAACTATATGCTCGCACTAGCAAGTACAAAAACTCAACCATACCCTACTTGGCTCGTGTTCTGTGCGATAAAGAAAGCATTAGGCGTGAAACTTATAACTTATTAAATAGTCAGTAGAACAATTGGACCTCGTCTTTCCAACTCATATCATTTATAGGTACAACGTTTTCTTTCTTTCTTTTCCTTTTCTCTTTTTTGTTTTTGTTATGTGCTGTTTTGTTTCTCTCTTCCTTACAAACTCTACTTAAAACATTCTTCTTCGTTCTTTCACACTCTGTATATCTCGACCTTTTGTTACCGCTTACGCCAGTAAATATGCTAGTATCTACTTTTCTAACACCTTCAAACATTCTGTTCACTTTTGGCTTTGCTACCGATATGCTAATATGTTGTTGTCAAAATTAACTGAGACTACCCATAATCTATGTAGAATTTTATTTATTGTTAATGTACAAACTGGATGCAATACTGTAGTGAAATGCTGAGAATTCCATTCTGTATCACAAGTACTGTTTCTCTAATGAAGCAAATTATTATTGTAAATTAAAATGTTGATTATTTTCTTTTCAGAATGAACTTATGTGCGCTTCTCTCCTGATTTGCTTACTAATGTTTTACTGACATAAAGTGACTTTGTATATGTGACCCAATTTGTTAAATCGGCTTTTAATTATCATTGCATTTTCCTATCCATCATTTATCTGGAAGATTGTTAAGCATCCAGTAAATATGCTCATATTCATTTAGAGGCAAAGGAATTACTACGAAATTTTTGGAAAGCGACATTAGGATTTTGATTTGAAAGTGACTGGTGCTGTCTAGTAGCGCAGTATTGCGGAATATTCTGTCCCTTGTAATTTTTTTTTTTATTCAGATGTAAGCAGGGTTGGCTATATATTATGCGAATTTCTTGTTTAATTTTCTTACGGTTATATTGATGAAAAAAGTAATGTTCTCTTTTGATGTTAGATGATTTATTACCTAGGCTACATGTAGCTCACTTAAGTTACAAATATAATGAGTTATATTTCAAGCAGAGAAATTGAAAAAAGGATGCATAGGCATTTAAGCACTGAGCGAAAATACGAAAATAGTCGACGTTGTAGACCTGTAAAACCTCCGATAATGATGTACGACGGGGCGGTGGTGGTGGTTTACGCTTTAGGTGGTATAGAAAAAAAAGTTGTTGAACGCGCGTTAATTGCTTGCGTTAATTGTTTGAGAAGTGCCACTAGTCGTAATGAAAGAAAGAGTTTGTCATTGAGTCTCAGTAGGCCGATAGAAGATTTGTGTGGCATTTGTTAACATATATTCATCAGGTAAATGTCCGGCGACTTATCATAAAGCTATTTTACTGCGCAATAGTGCATCCCCTGTCATACTTCTCAGGTGAGATATCAATCTTTGGACATGCGAAACAACAGGAATTCATAGGTATTTCCGTGTTAGAACCGAAGAACCAGCGCTAGACAGAAAACGGAAAGTTTTTGAGGTAACTGAAGCTTATTTTATATGCGGCCACACCAGCAAGACTAAGTAAAGTTTGGATGAGGTGGCGCAGCAGTAATCTCTGAAGCTTCTGGGACGTTAATGAATAATAGTTAGAAAGATTTGATGGCACAGGTTCTAATTACTGACGGTAGTAAATGTATATTCTTCCTTTATGGTTTTTTTTTAAAATTCTACCATTATTATTGATATCTATTTTCTCTAACCTCATATCAGTTGTGGCTTCTGAAATATCTTTCTACTCTCTTTCACTTTCTCTGTGTCTTTCGAAATGTGGCAACTTAGCCTGAAATACTACCTTAATACACTCAGTTTCTATCTGTTCGCATGTCTGTCATTGATAATTGTATGGAATATCTACGCTGATAATTGTTCCTGTTGTTAGATGTGATCTGTCTACACGATTTAAAAATATGTCAACCTAATTAGCCACAAGATCATATGTCTATAATTCGTTCTATCGGAGTTATGGGGATGGCTGAATTGTGACGCTATACTTCATTCCGTTTTATATCGGTAAAACTTAGATTTTAAATGTTGTTTAGTGGAAACAAGGCTTTGTTTTTGCTTAAATTACTACCATGTTGTGATTTTTATCTTCAAATCCACTATTGGCTATTCGTATTGTGCGTCGGTGATTCTTTTTGTTAGAATGTTCGTCAAGCACACGCGTGGTCAGGGGTTGGATTCCCGACAGATGCACTCCTAAACCTCATCCAGTAAGAAACGAAGTAGCATTGGGCATGAGGCGAGCAAACCTCACCGCATAAAAAAACACCGTCGCTACGGGAACTTCAAGGCATCAAGCCTGAAGCCCTATATTTCACTCGAAACGCATGGAATGAAAAAAAAGTAGAGGCGATAATATTATATTAGTTAATTTACATTCAAGCACAAGTTATACTATTTTGTGTTTTGTTCGGACCTTTATCAGGCTAAAGCCACATTTATTGTCCGAGGGCTAATGGTGCTACCCATTTGCTCAAGCTGAAGTAGGTGGAACGACACTCGCAATCGTGACCCCGCGATTGCAAGGTGAATGCTTAAGCTGATGAGCTAAGTTAAGTTCCGGCACAAGTTGTTGTACAAGTTCTCATTTCCTATTGATTGAATTTTTATCATTTGGCGTGGATGAATCCAAAGTAATATTAGATGTTTTCTCTTATTGTCATTTACGTACGTCTTTGAGTTGCACTTTAAATATATATATATATATATATATATATATATAGACTTCCACGAGAACATAGAATATACTTTTCATATCTGCTTATGAAGACTTATCAAGAGCCCCAAAGTAGAACTCCAAAGCCCAATAAGCACATTGTTTTCACTTTAAATCAGATTTAATTTTAGTTCATGCTATATGATTTTTGTAGAACGCTTCTGAAGAGGTAAGTTAGTAGTCTCTGTAATGTGAGCAACGTTCATATAACACTGCCTGATTAAGTAAATTTTTTTAAAATCTCAGTATGAGATTACAAAAAAAAATGTGAATGTGATTTGCACTTGCATTTTCCAGTGTCTGCTTTATGTTGTTAATTTTCAATGTATTACTTGATTCATATTGTGATATTTTATTATTCCTTCTCAGTATATCCATGATTATTTTTTTTACACTTGGAAGGTTAATTTAGTTTTTTTTAATATTTTATTAAAATTTTTCCGATTGTCTCTTTCAATAGGTCCTTATTACTATTATTATTATTGTTCCCTTGGGCTCTGAATGGGACATAGAGGGCGTCAACAACACGTCTCCATTTCGTTCTATTTTCTGCAGTCCTCTTTGGCTGGCCCCACGATTGCCCATAGTCTCTCATCTCCTCCTCTCACGATGTCCTCCATGTCACCCATGGATATATGCCCCATTCGTCGTTTGCTATTCGGGTTTCACCCTCGAGCGATGGCCTGCATTGCGCGCGGTGTCATCCAATGGCCTCCTCAGAGGTCGGTCGGTCGGTCGGTTTTCGACATAGAACTTTGCACATATGTGCGGCAGTTCAAGTCGCCACAATCTATGTAGCACGCAAAGCAAGAGAAGGAAGTAGAAGAAATGCATAATGGAAACAGTAAACAGAGGTGTGAGACAAAGGAATAGTAATAACGGAGAACAAAAGTTTAATTGGAAATCATAAGTCACAAGGAGTGGATGCATCTGCGCCACTGAGAACGATTTTGAGCCATGTCACCAATTGTTTCCAACCATTGGTTTTTACCATCCCGAGGGCCCCAACCAGGAAGTCTACATCTTCCTACGTGGCTTAGATTAACTGTTGTGGATTTCATTGATTGGTGCCATGTTTTGGTTTGACCGCCGCTAGCTCTTTTCCAGCCTGACCCTATATCAGCTAACATTGCCCGTCGAGGAAGGCGATGACTAGGCATACGTAGCACATGTCCTAACCATCTCAGTCGAAGTAATTTCACAGTCTCGTCGATTGATTTCCCCGCCTTACCTAGCACTCGACGCCTAACCTCAATATTGCTCACCTTATTATACCACTTCACGCGGGAGATAGAACGCAGACACCTATGATCGAAGACAGCTAATCTTTTCATGTCTTCTGCTCTCAATGGCCAGGTCTCACAGCCATAAAGGAGGACGGAGCGGACTGTTGAGCAGTACACACGCCCTTTGGTCGATAGTCGGATATCGCGTCTACGCCAGAGACGGCGAAAACTGGCGAATGCGAACCTAGCCCTCTGTATTCGTGCTGAAATTTCGTCTGAGATCAACCCGTTGGGGCTGATGGTACTTCCCAAGTAAGTGAAGCGGTCAACGTGTTCTACCACTTCACTTCCTATTTCTAATCTAGGGGTCGATGAAGTCCAATCCTGCAGCATCATCTTACATTTTATAGGGGCGAATCGCATGCCAAACATGCGGAGATTGTTGCTCAGGGTGTTCAGTAGACTCTGCATTTTGTCAGAGTCCTCGCCTAGAAGGACTATATCGTCCGCATATTCTAAGTCAACGAGATTCTTCCCTGGTAGCAAGTCAATCCCTGAGTCGCTGAAGTGAGTTAGGGTTAAGTCCATTAGTACATCTATGATGAAATTGAATAGGAATGGGGATAATGGGCATCCTTGACGGACGCCACTAGTCGTCACCACTTCAGATGACAACTCGCCATAAGCCCTCACCTGGCTGCATGAGTACGAGTAGAGTGCCTTAATCAGTGCAATGTATTTTCTTGGCATTCCCTTTACAGCCAAGCATCGCCAGAGAACCTCCCGGTCGACAGAATCGAATGCCGCCTTTAGGTCAAGAAATATAATGATTGTCGGACGCCGGTAGGAATGCCTATGTTCTAGAATCTGTCGAAGGGTGAAGATGTGATCAATACACCCTCTACTTGGCCTAAAACCTGCCTGGTTTTCTCGTGTTTGTGTCTCCCGAGCACCACTTAATCTACGCAGTATTATTAAGCCTAGGATTTTAGATACTATATTAGTCAAGCTAATCCCTCTGTGATTATCACAAGACGACTTGTCCCCCTTCTTGTATATCGGGATGATCAGTGACTTACACCAACCCGATGGGACTTCCTCTGATTCCCAGACGCTGCCTAGAACCTCCGTTAACGCAGACAGTAAACTGACGCCTCCGTACTTAAATATCTCTGGAGTCAATCCATCAGGTCCCGCTGCTTTGCCTAGCTTCAGATTGGTGACAGCTTTAGTAACCTCGGTTAAGGACGGAGGACCTGTGTCTATCTCCCATTCAGGGAGGTGTTGGATGTCTGGTAGGTTAAGTGTGGCTGTGGGCCAATTAAACTGCTCCTCATAGTGTTCTTTCCAGCGCTCCAGACGTCTATCCTGGGAGCTAATTATGGTGCCATTTTTCTCGGAGATTGTTTCGCTTATCATTTGTTTTTTACCACCTGTTTCCCTGATAAGCCTGAATAGTTGTCTGGTGTTGCCTATCGCCGATGCTTTTTCCATCTCTTTCGCCTTTGTCAACCACCACTGTTCACGGTCCTTGCGGAGACTTTTCGTAAGTTTCCTCTTGTGCAGCTTTCGCTCCTCATTGAATTCGGAGCTCGCCGGGATAAGTCTTCTAGCATCTATCAGTTCGGATGAGGCAGTCGAAATCCAATGAGTTTTACTCACCTTTGGATTTACCTTATTCACAGCTTTTACAGCTGTATCTATGGCTGACTGAATATTCTTCCAGGCTTCTTCAGGGTGAGCGCAGCTGTCGAACTCAGATATGTGTTTAGCTAGTTCTTCCTCAAATAGGGACTTAGTTCCCTGGTCGAGCTGGGGACGTGATGGGTTTACTGCCAGCTGTTTCCTACGTCCGTTCAGTCGTAAGCACACACGAGCGCGGACCAGTGCGTGATCGGTATCTACACACGTGTTCCAGAAGGAGCGACAATCTCCTACCGACCCACGCCAACGATAGCTTATTGCTATGTGGTCTATTTGTGTCCAGCGTTGATTTGATGATGGGGGTCGCCAGGTCAAACAGTGTGTCTCCTTGTGTTTGAAGTTAGTGCTTACAAGAAACAAATGATTATCTGAACAGAACTGTAGGAGACGGTCACCGTTGTCGGTTCGCTGGCACGGAATTCCGTATGTGCCACCAACATTCTTCTCAGATTGACACAATTTCCCTACTTGAGCATTAAAGTCACCAGCTAAAACGACTATATCTGAGCGTCTAGCCTTTCGCAGCAAACTAGACAGCTTTTGGTAGAACTCATCCTTCGTTTCATCCGAACTGCAGTCAGTGGGGGCGTAGGCGGAGATTACGAAAAGGCATCGGCGAGTAGTGCAGTCCTTTCTCCTTTTCACTGATCCGTTCAGGCGGACAGCGCACATTCGGCTATCTACCGGGATCCAGTCAAGTAATGTCTTTTCTGCTCTAGTACTTAAAGCTATCCCAACACCAGCTAATCCTCGTGAGCTAGCCGTCGCATCTCCTGACACCCTCAAGGTGAATTTTGCAGATTCATCCTGTTGGCCAGGTGGGGTTAGGTGAATAACCACACTTGGGTCCTGTATGCGTGTTTCTGAAACACAACATACATCAATGGCTCGGGATGCCAGAGTCTTGGCTAGTGATGCTTGTTGTCCTATTTGGTAAAGTGTCCTAACATTAAATGCTCCTATATAAAATTGGTGGCGTGGTTTTAGGAGACAATCGGTGGTGGCTTTTTGGCTTCCCTCGTTATCAGTGCACACAGAGTGAAGAGGAAGTGAAGAGCCATCAAGTAGAGGAGTTGCATTAGTAGAAGGAAGGCAAGATAATAGAGATGAAGATGAAGACAAAGATGAGCGAGGATTAGAGGGGTTTCGCGTGCACTTCGGATTGTGAGGGCGATTGGTACTTCCCGGCTGCCCACACCGTGGAAGTTGGTTGCGTGACCGCAGAGCCCAGGGGACAACTGCTTGAGGCCGGTCACACACGGCCTGTTTTTGTTTGTTCTTTTTTATTTGGTGTGTCTCAGTAGCGTATTTATCACTTCTGCCCTGTGACACGGCAGCAGAAAGCGCGGTCGTTGTTAATCCGGGCCCCGACCGATCCGGCATGATATTTTGTGATTTATTTGAAATCATAGGATTGGATTGGGTAACTGCTTTTAGTCTAACTGCTATCCAAACAACCTTTCTGGCATGGTAGGACCTGCAGGAACATAAGTTCCAGCCAGTATAGCTTGTTGGGTCATTGCAGTGTTCAAGCCCGACCACCACGTCAAGGTAGCAGCTTTCGGTCGGGCCTCCTCAGAGTGTGCCCAATCGAACTCCATCTTCTTCAGCGGTTGGTTTGTTCTTAGAGTCTGTTGTTGCTAATTCTTTCTAGCCATTTGAAGTTTAATATGGAGAGAAGGCAGCTGTTGATGAAAGTCTGCGAACTGTTGAATATGCCTTTGGTGACGTACAGTGCAAGTTTCTGACCGATACAGAAGAACTGGCTTAACACTGGTGCTGAAAATCCGAATCTTGTTCTTTATGCTACGGTGGCAAGAGGATTTCCAAACTGGTTTCATTTTGATGAAGGTGTACATTGCCTTTCCGGTTCTGGCCCTCATGCGCGTTGTCGTCTGTAGTTGAAATGATGCTGCCTAGATATAATAAGTGAAGGAAATGAGCTCTTTCAATATTGTCCCGTTGATACTGATTGGCTCTCCTTGTGGTTGTTGGTTGGTTATCTTCATCACCTCTGTCTTCTCTATGCTCACCTGAAGTTAATCTTATGTGATATAATCAGGTGTTTGATAAAACATTCGAATGGTCATTTAAATGAGTACCTTTAAATATTTAAGTTGTCCAGAGTTCACAGTAGTCTGCAGAACATTACCTTCTCATTCAATGGGTGAATATAGTTGTAGCATTGTTAACAATCGTCTTAAAGAATTTAGGGGGGCTTTAATGAGTCTGTAGTGTG